GTTCAGAGGTTCTGCTGAGGACCGTGAGGAACGTTCAGAGGTTCTGCTGAGGACCGTGAGGAACGTTCAGAGGTTCTGCTGCTCTCTGACATGTCAGGAAACCTTCCTTCATCCTCCTCCACCTGAGTCCAACTGAAACACCTTCAAACCTTCTCATTTCAAACCTCACAGATCCAACATCTCCTGCTCTCTAACAACCTCAGTTCAAACACTCGAACACTGAAGTTTAGAGAGCTGGTTCTGGGTCTCAGTACCCCTCTAGAACCAGCTCCCATTTAATCTCAACTAGGGATGCAAGTTATCGATTAATGAATTAATCTAAAGTTGACTGATCTTATTGATCAATTAATGATTAATTGATAAGCGACCGTTAGGAGCAAATATCATAAGATTTGTTTCTTCTGCTGAAAATGTTTTGTTTTTTAAAATAAAAAGAATACTACAATAATAATTTTCCTAAAAACCTGACATTTCTCTTGAATCGAGTCTTTCTAAAACACGAAGGGATAATTTTTACACTAAATTTAAAAAGTACAGTATTTTATAAAATGTATTGTTCCAGCTGTATTAAACACTGACTGAATAAACATAAAATTGTGGATTTATCTCACATTATTAAACTTTGATGTATTTATAAAATATAACAAAACAAGAATCTGTTGGGTTGTTAGTTGGAAAACAAAGTAAAACACTTGATCCAGCCTGAACAGAGAAATGTTTAACATTTAAACACAGGGTAAGATTTAAATGTAAAGATTTACACAAAAACAAACTGTAAACATGACCTGAGAGGAGTGAGATATAAATGAGTTCTGGAACTGTTTTACATTGTGTGGTTCTGTCTGGACTGGACTGACCCGTCATCAGTTACTGTTCATTTGTTACGTCACACAGGTGACATTAACTTCATGGTAATTATTTGTAGTCACTGTAACAGTTTTTTTAAATCATGAGATAAACTCTACAAGAAGCTAACGTTAGCTACAGTTAGCTTAGCGTTGTCTCTATGGTCCTGCTCTCTTGTCTTCAGCGTCGTACTGCTGGATGGTCCAGTCTTCAGTACTTTTCCTCCCAGGTTGGTGAAGTCCATTATTATTGTGTCACAAATAAAACGATTTACACATTTATTTATGATGYCGGCCACCTGCTGCTCAGCTCCACAGGTAGTTAGACCAGGCTGAGAGCAGCAGCGCCATCTACTGGATGAAGGCAAAACTACACTGAAATAAGGTTTAAACTGATGTTTTAATTAATCAAATGGAAGGAATTTTAATCTAATAAATCATTATTTAACAATTAATCGTAAGTCGATTGTTTGCATCCCTAATTCTGACCATATTTCTGTTGATCTGGTAATAAAAAGATGCAGAAACAGTCGTCTCTGCTGCCACTGATTGGATGGGACGTTTCAGAGCTGAGTGTCTGCAGGAACCGAACATCAGCTGAGCAAAGAGCTGCTGACCTGCAGCAGAACTCACTCAGAACCAGAACCATCAAACGCTGAATACTGAAGCAGTTTCTGGTTCAAATGATCTTTTCTGTTGGTTGTCCACCTGTAACTGCGTGAAAGTGTTGCAGCTGTTCAGTCTGTGTGATAAACGGCCTGCAGACACACAAACAGGGTTTTTAGAAGAATTCACCAAATGTTTCGCTTTAAACATCAAACATTTTCCTTTCAGCTCAGATAATAAACAGTTTCTGCTGCGTGGCCCACAGGATGCCAAGTGTCGTCCATTAAAAGATAAATGATCCACTTAGCTGGCCGTTCCCCGGTCCTCAGCTTCATCTACGATCTCACCTAACCTCTGAGGTCCGATAAGAACCGACAGGAAGATCAGGACTTTGTAAAACACAGGACCACACCTGAGATCAGTTTGTGAAGGTTCAACTCCTTATCTTCACTTTACTCTGTCTGGAGGCAAAGCTGAAGACACACACACACACACACACACACACACACACACACACACACGGGGGTGGCGGCTGTGGCGGAGTGGTTAGGGGAGTCATCCTGGTACCAGAATCAATCCCCTTCCAGCCGTCTCAGTCGTTGTGTCCTTGGGCAAGACACTTCACCCACCTTACCTACTGATGGTGGTCCGAGGGTCCGGTGGTCCCGCTGCACGGCAGCCCCACCTCTGTCAGTGTGAATGTGAGTGTGAATGAGTGAATGTCTGTTAGTGTGAAGCGCTTTGGGGTCCGGAGGGACTTGAAAAGTGCTCTATAAGTTCAGTACCATTTACCATTTACCATACTATGTCTCTATTCTTGTGGGGACTTTCCATTGACTTCCATTCATGTTTTGGAAATTTTATAGAATAGAATAGAATAGAAACAGYCTTTATTGTCCCACGTGGGGAGATTCAGGTGTAGCAGCAGCAGCAGGTACACACATCAGTACACAACTATGTGACAATAAATTATAGTAAAACAGAATAAGAATAATAATTACCGTACCATCAATGAGAAATTAGATAAAAATTGTTGCAGCTACTGTGCAGAAAGTTATACAGTTACAGGAAATCACAGTCATGACAGACTTGTGTGAATTGTGTCAAACTCAGGTGCGTGCAAATTGTTTCAGTGTCAGTCACCAAGTCCAGTTCAGGAACAAAAACAGTGAACAATTATTATTATTATTGGTTATTACATGTGAAATGATTTTGAGGTAGAGTTGTTTGATGTACAAACACAAACATGAATGTCCTGATGCATCTCAGTAATCCAGGTAAAAAACCAAAAAGAAAAAAAATAGTATAGGTCCTCTGGACGGGTTCTTCTCTAATGAAACGTTTCGTCTCTCCTCCAAGAGACTTCTTCAGTCTGAGAGTTTCAGGCTAAATTCATTTAGCCTGAAACTC